CAGTGGCGAGACAGGAGAGAGCCTATCAGGAACTGGAGAGAGTTCAAGAATTGTTTAGTAGAGCGTTTCCAAGCCGATGGGGGAGGAGACTTCTATGAGCAGTTCTTTGCTCTAACTCAGGAGGGGACCGTGGCTGACTATCGGGATAGATTCGAGTACTTGGCTAGCCGTTTGGATCACATCTCAGAATCGGCACTGGAGGGGAATTTCATGAAGGGGCTCAAACCGGAGATACGAACAGCTGTCAGAGTGCTAGAGCCAAGGAACTTTGGCAAGGCTATGGAGCTTGCACAATTGGTGGAAGATCAGAAGAGATCAGAAAGAGGAGCTCGAGGAAACTACTTAGGAGGATCGTACAAGATGACTACTGCTGTATTACCCTCCAAAGGGTAGCCCCAGGGAACCAGAGGGAGGTGCCCAAGGAGAGATCTGGTGGAGGAAATGGGGGACAATTCAAGAGGCTGACAGAGAATGAGATGCAAGAAAAGAGAGCAAAGGGGGTGTGCTTCCGTTGTGATGAGAAGTACATGCCTGGGCATAGATGCAAGGACCGAACTCTTCAAGTTTTCCTAGTCTGTGAAGATGAGGAAGATGAGGAGGGAGGTGGGAGTAGGACTGAAGAGGAGGAGGAGAAGCTGCACCTGGATGTGGCAGAAGTCTCCCTCAACTCTGTATTGGGATTCACCCCGAGTCACACTATGAAAGTGAGAGGAGAGATAGATGATCGCGAGGTGGTTGTGTTGATCGATAGTGGGGCAACCCACAATTTCATTTCCACCCAGATCGTTGACCAGATGGGAATGGAGCTAGTGGATATAGGAGGCTATGGGGTGATGATGGGCACGGGAAAGGTGAAAATGGGTAGAGGAGTTTGTAGAGGAGTGGTGCTGAAGATTCAGGGGATCCAGGTGAATGAGGACTTCCTTTCCTTGGAATTGGGAAGTACTGACGTCATCCTAGGGATGAAATGGTTGCGTATATTGGGGGAGACTAAGATCAATTGGGGGACACTGAGGATGGAATTGGTGATAGGGGGGAGAAGGAGGATGATTCAGGGTGACACTGGGTTGACCAAAGCTGGGGTTTCTCTCAAATCCCTAATCCGGACCATTCAGCAGGAGGGAGGAGGCTATTTGGTGGAGTTGCACAGTTTGGAGGGAGCAAGAGTGGAGGAGGGAGGAGACATACCCCTCTCTGTTCAACCGCTGATTCAGCAGTTCCAAGAGGTGTTTCAGCCGCCTCAGGGATTACCACCGTCGAGGGAGCGAGAGCATGCTATTGTGTTGAGGGATGGGGTTTCACCCATCAGCGTACGTCCTTTCCGCTGCCCTCAGTTCCAGAAAGATGAAATTGAATGGTTGATTAGAGAGATGCTGGAAGCAGAGATCATCAGACCCAACATCAGCCCTTTCTCTAGTCCTGTTCTGTTGGTGAAAAAGAAGGACGGCAGCTGGCGATTTTGTGTGGATTACATAGCACTCAACAAGAAGACTGTACCTGATAAGTTTCTTATACCCGTTATCGACTAGTTGTTGGATGAATTAAGCGGGACTGATATTCAGCAAGATAGATTTGAAATCGGGCTACCACCAGATTCAAATGAGGAAGGAAGATGTTCCCAAGACGACTTTTAGAACTCATGAAGGCCATTATGAGTTCTTGGTGATGCCTTTTGGTCTCACCAATGCCCCTGCTACTTTCCAGGACCTGATGAATAAGGTTTTCAAACCATATCTCAGACGGTTTGTGTTAGTATTTTTTGACGACATCCTGATATACAACAGGTCAGAGGTCGAACATTGGGAACATTTAAAAAAGGTGTTAGAGGTATTGCAGGAGCATCAGCTGAGGGTAAATTTAAAGAAATGCTGCTTTTCACAAGCCAGTGTAGAGTACTTTGGTCATGTGGTATCAAAGGAAGGGGTGGCAGCGAATCAATCCAAAATTGAGGCGATGCTACAGTGGCCACTACCGAAAAGCCTGAAGGCGCTAAGGTGATTTCTGGGATTGACAGGTTATTACAGAAGATTTGTAAGGGTTATAGCACCATAGCATGGCCACTTACGGAGAAGCAGCCACATCAGCATTCGAGAGCCTGAAGAAGGCAATGACTATAGTGTCGGTCCTAGCTTTGCCAGATTTTACTCAGACATTCATTGTGGAGACCGATGCATCCGGATACGGATTGGGTGCAGTACTTATGCAAAATCGGAGGCCCATCGCTTATTTCAGCCAGGTATTGACTGCTCGAGCAAGGATGAAATCAGTATATGAGAGGGAATTGATTGCCATCGTGTTGACCATCCAGAAATGGCGGCCCTACCTACTTGGAAGACACTTCATTGTCAA